ATATTGTTGCCTTTGGCAAATACAATGTAGATGGAGCTTTGTTACGGTCGAAAAAGTATAACTAAAATCAGCACATTTTGAAGTAAATTTTCTACAAAGCAAGTCTAAATTTCTCTTTTTTCGTACATTCTCATATAATGGTGAACTTAATATGTCTTCAAGATCTTCTACATCATCAATATCATCATCATCACGTTCATCGCAACCTGCAACAATAACTTATAGACAATCTGTTCGACAACAAGGGGTAGATTACCCAGCCGATATTCCGGAAATTTTAGTTAAAGATGGTACAAAGTATTCTCTGATAAATACATCATATTATGAAAGAATTGAATTCACGATGCTTGGACGTAATGCAGCAAATATACCTGAAACCACTGTTCAACGCCGCGGAGTGAAGACGATTGATGAACTTAAGGCTGAAGCGCGAGCAAGAAAAGAAGCAGGACTCGACTTCAAATGGGGATGTCCATATTGTAATAAAGTTATTAGTGACCGCGAGGATACCACCAAACGCCATATTCGTGGCCGAAAAGATAAAACACATTGTAAGAAAAGCTGGTTTTTAACCAGTTTTTGGTAAACACTACCTTTCCCTACCTCCAGTAGGTAGGGAAAGGCCACAATTGGTTGGTTTTTTGCTGGGTCGGCCATTTTTGAGGGAGACGAATTTCTCCCTCACTCCGCATAAAATGGCCGACTTTTCTTTGTTTTGGTCGCGATTCAGCCACCCGCGGAAGCCCTTGTGGATCAACTTTAGAATGTTATCAACAGTGAAAATATATACAAATTTACGACAGTGATAATAGTTATTCTTTACCCAACCCAGTGAATTATATTTACACAAACTTTCCATCTTATTATGAGTGACATTATGATTACGACTAACAAATACCAATATATACAACTTTAACCCAGGAAAATTAGTTACTTTCATTTGACTAGAAATGGTGAAATATACATAATCATACAATTATTTGGTGAATTGTCTTTGACTAGACTAGTGAAGTATATACAATCTAAACATACGGTGAACATATCCTTTGGACTTATTTAGTGAAAATTACATCTCTAATTCAGTGTTATTACACCTAACTATTCCATGGTGGACTAAATACCAGTGATCACGAATGTGTAATCATCCCTACCTTATTTGATATCTTATTGTATTCAATAAAATTAAGTTGTAAACTAAACCTTCTTTCAACATATTGTTTGCAAAGATAGGATGAAACAATCTCCAAATAAGGCAACAAAAGGGCCAGTAAAAGTTTTTTATGAAACTGCTGATGAAACCAATGATGGTTAAATTAATAAATTCTTTGTAACCCTTCAATTTAATTTGTAATAAACGGTTTTGATAAAAATTTTGTTTATATTTTTTAATAAATACTTTTATAAGATCAATAATAATAATATCGCTAATATCAATTCTTTTCAATAACATGCTTTCCAAAGCAATCAGAGCATACATAATATGTTGCGTATGTTTTTTCAGTACAGTCTTTGTGAAACCATAAGCGGAAAACAATGCAAATGTACATGTACTTTGAGTAATCATTAGAATTAGGGCAAAGCTTTGAACTACACGGAGCTGTATTTTTTAAAGTATTGAAAGTTTGCTGTAACTCCTCAATAACTGCTTCCACTTGAATTTTTTTCTTTATGAACAAATTTATACTTTGTTAACTGTTTTTATGGTTTAACTTTCTTTGGGCTCTTATGTTTTTTACCCTTAAATACTACATATTTAATGTACTTTCTTACTTCAGACGAAGAAAATGGCTCAAATTCTTTATTATAGACAAGCGAATCAATAGCAAGAGCTACGAATACCCCACAATCGTTGTCATTATCTTGCTTTCGCGCATCCTGCGCGGACAATATTTGCCATTCATGTTCTTGTAGTTGAATATCAGCCAAGGGGTAGCTTAAACGAACAATTTCCATCAAAGTCTTCGCTATCTTATCATAATTTCTACAGTTGTCGCCAGAGTCAATTATGATGATTTTCTTTTGTTTGTATATGATGATGTCAAGTATACAATGTAGTCCTTTTTCATTATCAGTGTTTATAATAACCATGAGGATGTCTTTATTCAAGGCTTCATGCTTGTGTAATACTTCATGTGTGCCTACTTCGTTTGTTTTGATTAGTAAATTTTCCTTTTTGTCCTTTCCATCTTCGCCCTCTCTTCTATTGTGCTCCTTCGTGCGTGCAGGCATAGCCAAAAAAACGAAGGAACCACCAGTATGGAGGAAGTCAGCTCGTTTGCATCAACCAATATGATTGCGAAATCATTCAGCACATCGTCTAAAAGCCAATTTTGGTTTCTCAAACTTGCAACAAGTTTCAGCTTAGCTTCTGGTACTTTAAAATTAGAAGGAATTGCTTTTCCATGAAACGTAAATTGCTTATTAACGCTTGAGCGATTCACATGGAATTTTTCTAGTTCCTTAGATGCATTTACAAATGGCTCGTTATTTTCGATATCGCCAAACGGCAATATATCAAGGCTATCATGATCGGAATGATTAGAAGAAATTTCCTTTTCCTTTTCGAGAGATTCAAAGCTTGCAAACACATTCTTAGTTTTTCCGCATCTGCCAACAATTTTGCTAAATCTGGAGCTGGTTCATAAATGGTTTTCACAGTTTTTCAGTTTTTTCCAGATTTCGATTCTTTGAAGGCCTTACACACTGCAGATAATTTAAATTTCGTCTGCGAATTCGATTCAGGAACTTTACCGCCAATTTGTTCTTTTGCTTTGATATGAAGACCGTCCTTCTTTCGGGGACAGCTACATTAATAACCTTTTTCTCCCTTGAACACGCTTTGAATGTCAGATTAATATGGACATTTCACGGTAAAAACTCGATTATGTGGATCATAACCGCATTTTTTATTTGTAACAGCAATGTGTGCAAGATAATCCGTAGGATCATCTTTTCTTTCATCTGTTTTGACGTGAGCAGATTTTATAGCTTCAATCACCTCGAAACGAGTCTCAAATTCAAGTAGGCAATCAATTCCAATGTGCAGATCATAGCTCCTCAATTCCTCTTTAATGGTATACTGACCAGAAGAATCAGCAGCTCAATTGAACTCGAGAAGAATTGTCATTTGAATTGAACCCGTTTTTCGAAGCTTTTGGAGCATAGTTTTTGGGCTCTTGAATGTAAATAAAGGATTTTAAGCGTAAATTAACGAGCATTTCATGCTCTTTCCATATATATAATTTTTCTTATCAGAATATTTAATTAAATAGAAAAAATTGACTTTGATTAAATGATTAGTGTAATTTTAACGTTCAGTTTTGTCAAATCCCTATGAAGCTAGAGATCAAACTATGTAGAAATATTGTTAACAATTACTTTTGAAACTCAGAAGCCGCTGATTAAAGGTTAATAAAATTATGAAAAGAATATGGGTAAAAAAGGTTTGCGCAAACATGGTCCAGGTCAGCAAATGAAAATGAAAATGTGAGCAAATTTCTGACCTCTATCGAGAGATGAACTAAAAAATTTTGAAGCCTCGTTCTTCGAACGGCCCTTTCGGTCAAAGTTGCTGAATGCTGGAAAACAAGACTCATTATCTGAGTGTATTGAATGCATTATCTCAATTTTAACGAAAAGTATTCGATACTTTTCGAGTTATAAACAGTTAAAGTTTGTCCAATTTTTTAGGGACCACTCCTTAGAAATCATACTTTTGTCCAGACAATTTTGTTTTTCTTCACACTCCCTTTGTTTTTCTTGATGTTCATGGTGAATCTCAATCAGTTGATGTCGGAGAAGTTGATAAATTTTTGTCTAACAAGTGGCCAACCTCGGTGATTCAGGAGTCAATTCTGAATGCTGAAGAAACTGGTCTATTTGGAAGCAGACTATTAAAAAACAATAGGATTTAAGGGCAAACAAAAACAGAGCTATGAGGAACTTTGTTTCCAGTACTTTTATGTGTATCAAGTTTTGGACATAAATTTCCACTTCTATTCATTGGTGACACTAACAATCCGCGTCCATTCAAAGGTGTAGATAAAAGTCAACTTGGCTTTGAATAATTCAAAATTGACGATTGTAAAATAGGAAAGAGGAAAAAAATGTTGGAAGGATGGTGGATGGCCACAGATGTTTGTGTAGCTGGACTCTTAGTTATTCTGAGCAAACATCATTGTTGAATTAATGACTCATTGTTTTAGGATTGAAACATGTATCAATAGAAAACTAAGCGGATCTTCTACTTTCAAATTTATTCTTGTTTTATTCACAAATAGATGAATGTATATTTACAATAGGAAACACAACTAAACACGAGACAATAAAAAATAAATTCATCAATGATGTTTGCTTAAAATAATCAACTATCGAAGCTATATAAACATCTGCCCGTTAAGATTGGGTATAAAGTCGAGTTATTTCAAAGGAAAAGTATCAGTTGCAGATTCAAGTTTGAAAAGTGATTTAGTAATTTTCAATCCATTCATTCAGTATAATCAAAATAACAAAAAGTTAAAATGAAATTGACTCAAATTGTGCTCACTTTCTTTCTAATGGCTCTCTTCGGTTCTGTTATCACCGTGCATCACCCTCAACCAGGTGGCCCTCCAGGTGGTAATAATCCAGGCCCCGGTGGCCCTCCAGGTGGTAATAATCAAGGCCCCGGTGCTCATATTCTGAATTTGAATAGTTTATCATGAGATGACGCTGTGCCAATAATTTTTACATTTAGTCTCAAGCCCTATTTATCCTAGTTTTTCGGACAAATAAGCACTTTCGAGATAATGCAAAATTTATTTTTGTCTATCGCATTTTTCATAAGCTTAACTTTTGTTCGTGTAACCAGTTTGAATTGAGAATCTGATGAAATAAAATATGTTAAGATTGAAAAGTCGACTACTCGACGAATATTGAGAATAAACTATTTCCACATCGGCGCAGTTTCTGAGTGATCACTGTAATAGCGCGAAAACCGAAGATTTTCTTAAAAATCGAAATTTTTAATATTACAATATTAATTCAAGTAAAAAAATACAAGAAAAAGTCATTTAAATTGATCATTATCGTTGTAGTTTGACACGGCCACGAAGTGCAACGTAAGCTAATACACGAAATATGACTATGACGAAAATTAACATCCAGTAGTCAAGTTTAAGATTAGATTCTTTGAAGCCAACAGAGGCAATTACTTGCTTCCCATTGACTAAACAACCTTGTCCAGTTGGAAGGGTGCCCTTTGACACTTCGGGCAAAACTCTTACTATTGAACTTGGAACAGGAGTCTCAAAATCACAGTCAATGTGAGTCACATCACGCCATTGATTTACTGTCAAGATTTCATTTGAATAATAAAACCAAGAGAAATACTTTATCCAATTTATCCATTTTGGGATTGTACTGAAAATTGGGACATAAGATGATATTTTATAATATGCTACATTATCAATTGTCTCATTACAAAGACTCACCGATTATTCACGAAAGTCCCACCAAGTAAAGACAACGGAGAGATTAAAGGCGATGCCACTTCAAGACCAACAATCAATGAAGTTGAAATGGATGATATAAAATAACCAAAGCCAGCAGCTGCAAGCATAAGTATTATGGAGACAGCATTACCAATCAAGAATGTATCGAAATCATTAACAAGTCCAATGGCATAATAACATATTGACCATGTAGCGATAGGCAAAAGGATAAAATAAGGTAAATCTGAGGCCATTTTCGCTATAAAATAAATGCTAACCCGATACAGTCCAGCAGCATGTTCTCGCAAGAATAATGGCATTTCATTGCAAAAAGTCTGAAAAAATAAATTTTCCCGAATTAATCAACTGGCAAAAATAAATTTAAAATAAGTCTACGACATACTTACACCAATAATCAGATAAATGCCAGAAAAATTTCCACTCATGATCGAAAGGAAAATAGCTCCGTTTATATTCATTATGCCTTCTTGATTATAATCTTGTCCCCAGTAAGCCAATGCCACAAGAAGCGTGCAAAACTGTTGAGACAAGTAGGAATAGATACAATAAAAAATACGATAACGAGAAAAAGGGTTGAAAATATTAATATTAGTTGACTAACAAGTGTACTAGCGATTCGTGATGTTGTCAACATAGGATCTCGGAAATTAATCAGAGCAGATCGATGAGTTAATAGATTGAATTGTGAAAAAATATCTATTTGGACTGGTTTAGAGTATTGTTTCAATTTAGCAGGACCACTGATTGCTTCAAAGGTTGCTTCAGATACAATTTTTAATTCGCTCCTGAGATCTCGGTGGTAGTCAGAAGCTTCATAAGAATTACAGATCATCTGCATTGAAGAGAAAGAAGATATCAGTAAATTGAGTGTCATTTTTGTATCGATAATGTACGTACATTTACTTTTGACAAACACTGTTCTTTGTTTCCTGGGACAATAGATAATTGTTGAACATAAAAATCTGATGGATTATAATTTGATGGACACTTGAATCCAAGTTGAGAAAAGAAATCAAGAGCTTTATCTGCAGTTCCTAGAAACGCGACTCGACCCTCAGCCAGCAACATGATTTGATCAAACATTTTGAATATTTCAGATGACGGTTGATGAATGGTACATACAATGGTTCGTTGCTCATTAGCCAAAGATTTAAGAACAGATACAACAGTTTGAGCCATGAATGAATCAAGTCCAGAGGTTGGCTCATCACAGAAGAGTATTGCAGGATCGGTTAAAATCTATCATTCAAGATTGTAAACAGAGATTAATACTGATTCACAAATTATAAGTCACACCTCGATAAATCGAGAATAATAGCATATTCACCTCAGTAGCAATAGATAACCTTTTAAGTTCACCACCAGACAACCGCTCTCCGCTTGATCCACATTTTATCCGATTTTCCGCAACTTTCATTAATCCTAACTGAAAATAAGTTTACAAAACACATAAATAAGTACTTCAATTTTAATGATTTGATGAAATGAAAACTTACCTTTTCGAGGATTTGGTCAATTCTTTTGTTAATTTGACTAGCATTCATTGAAAATGTTGTCCGAAGTTTAAGTTGGAATCGCAAGTGTTCTCGCACAGTGAGAACACCAAAGAATAGATCATCTTGTTGAACATACGATGAACATGAAGACAACCTTTCGATAGTAATCGGCTCATTGTTCAAAGAGACTTGTCCTTCAATGGCCAATTTATTCAAATTTTGACCAGTTAATACATTCAGTAAAGTGGTTTTTCCTGCTCCAGAAGCACCAAGAATGGCCAACAGATTACCAGGTTTTGCTTGACCAGAAACTATTTAAACATTAAACGAGAGAGAGAGAAAGAATCAAACATGAAATTCTGTTATTGAAACAATATCTCCAGAATTGTTGGGTTTTGAGTGGATATTGCAATAACAATAATAAGAACAGACGAGCAAAGTCTAATTTGCAAGAGCAATAACAAAGATGTAACTCTATTTAAGCAGTAAAACAATCAACATTAAACTATAATTTAAACATACCTTTTTTAATTATGTGAACTGGTTCCTTTGGTTTTCGGAAATAATCAGTTAATCCAGACGACCCTTTCGAGTAAACATTAAGGTTATTCCAACTCAATGTAGTGGGTTTAAAATTCGAAGCACTCGAGCTTAAATCTTCTGATGAACATGAAGCGCAGTCGGTCAATTCTGCTAAGAATAAAATATATTCTAATATACTCAAACAGTTTACAGAAAAAATTTAATCGAGAAGTGATCATCTCACTTATTATAATGTAAAATAGCAAAACAGTAAAGACTTTACCTATTGAGTCAATCTCGTCTGATGAAGATTTGTTGAGATCCGTGAAGAAACGTTGGAATCCATTTCCCGAGTTTTCTTTTATCTGCTCCTCAGCTGTTAACATTGTGAACTTAACTGGTTAAACTGAATGGACAATGAATTTCAGACTGCAGAAATTCAATCAGATCATCTTCACACAGGCAAAGGCAAGATCTGAGGAAAGCACGTATAAGCACCAGAACTGGCTCAGTGAAGATTGATTCAAGTTGAAAAAAATTATTCATCTCAATCCATCCGCAACTCGACAATGGGTTAGTCATGATATTGAAATATAAACTATCCATGATTACACTAAGATTATTATAATCACTTGATAAAACTTTCTTGGAACGCGTTGCAATATTACCTGTAATAAGTAAAAACATCAAAAGTGAAAACAATATAAAATCTCTCATAACATAACAATTTCTTATGAATCGATTGAGATCAAGTTAATGAAAGCAACTTTTTCACACAATTAAAGGGGAGTCCCATCAAATCTCAATCCATGGAATTTAGTTGAGTTGAAATTCCAATGAAAACCAATCAATCCAATAAAAAAAGTGTCACCGATTCCTGTTAATCCATCTACAAATCAATATGGCAATATAATGAGCTAAAGATTAACATGACTTTACTGGAAATTGTCAATTCTTGCCTTTTTCAGCTAATAATCACCAAATCTATTCAAACCATCAATTTTTCAAGTGAAATTGCCTCACACTCTCAAAATGAAGGCAATTTTATCCAACCATCTTCACCTGGTATCATCGTGTTAATTGCTGATCAAATTGTTCACAATAAACATTTATATTAAATAGCGATTTATCAATATTTTGTTCATCTTTGCTTGAAGGTTTTCACCTGATACGACCTTTGGTAAGCATTTGATTGAAAATAGAAAGCAAAATGAAAATGATATTCGGGTTAATTTGATTTATTGTTTAAGACAATTGAAACTCAACAGGCCTAAAGGTTATAATACAAAAAGGTGCCTTAATGAATATAATAAACTTGCCTAAGGATAAATATGATTTCAATGTCTATTTGAATTAATCACGATAAAAGCACTTATTCACTCAATGATGATAAAATATCCATTAAAGCTATTGGATCAAACTGGACAAATTGTATCAGTTAATTGGTCTTTCATGTTTTACCATATTGCGTCAATAATCAAGTGCCCAAATGACCAAATAATCTAGTGTTGAAAAACACTCTTCTCAAAGAAGGAAAAGGTTTACTCAATGGTCAAAGTTTACCTGATTTTTAACATGCAACGGAAATTGAATTTAATTTGAAATTATTTTCTTTTCTAATCAATGTTTCAATCGAGTTGATTAACCCAATACAATGAACCAGTTTCCGATAAAGTAAACGTAACAACAACTGACCAACCGCTAAATTGGGTAAAATGTCAATCTAATATTACCTTTTATCATTAAATATCACAAATCCAATTATCAATGTTGTACCTTTTTACCTGTTCACAACAGGATAAAAGTTTATTTACTTGACAATTAACTACCAACAGGTAAACAGACAATTATAAAGACTTTCATTTTCAAAGTAAAATTAAATTTGATGGAAACAATTGCACAAGATAAATGGTTGAAACAATTGAAATTAATTTAACAGCAAACAGAGAAATCAAATTTAACAGAAATTTTAAATCAGATTAAAGCAATAAATAAAGCAAAATTCAACAACAGAAACATCTCAAGTTGAAACAATTGCGATTGATATTCAATGGGAAAGATCAGATTAATCATTGATTTGTACCTTTTTTATTGTTGATAAACAATAAAAAACAAAAAGATGAGAATAAAAATATAAACAGAAAACGGAAATTTGCCTTTTTCATGTTGATCACAGCAAGATGATGATGATGATCAAATGCGCAGTGAATAAGGTCAACGGCAAGAGGTTGAAGAAGCGCAAGAAACGCACAGTTGATATTGGTTTCTGGTTAACTTGGAGTTTATCATTTATAGCTGGGAGTGAAATAATCCGGAACTGGGAGGAGTTCATCATTAATATATCATTTCATTTAACTAATTCATTTATAGGCAACCGTTTGCTATCTTAGGTTATCATCTTATTGGCAGCATTTCAGGAAAGTTGATCAGTTTTTTGTTTGCATCGCAACTGTTCATTTTGTCACTTGAAACAACTTTCATTCCAGATTCTTGACCATTTCAAGTGACGGAAAAGTAAAGGAAATTTGTCTCCAAAATGATGGTTCAACAGTCAAAAGGATTGATTTTCACGACAACAATTATTGTTATGATAACTCTTATTAAATTTGTATCAACAAGTGGTAATAACAACAATCAAGCCAACAATCTGGAATCAAACGATTTCCAAGCCGTTATTCAGCGACCTTACCTTGATCATGATAATAGGTTGACTCGTTATCTAATTGATCGATTTGCTCCATTCATTATTGCCCGAACTGCGTAAGTATTTAACTTTAATTGTCCATTAATTTCAATACTTCAATGTCAATTTGATAGAAAATCAAAATTCTGTATCTTTTTCAACATCTTTAAAATGTAATTAACTCAACCTTTCAATTTTAGTTTACTTTTAGTAACATTTTTTGTCTCTCCATTAGTTTGATGAACTTTTAACAGTTTTCTGATTATCATTCAATTATTGACTTTTCATGAAATTTGAACATTCGAGATCTTCTTTCTCTTCATATTTCATGATTAGCTTTTAATATTTGAAAGTTTCAATGAGTTTGCCTTTTGTTGCTGGTTTAGACAGCAAACTGTTGCTGCAATTTGATTTAAGGTAAATTTTGTCGAAAAACAAATTTAATTTAAAAATGAGTCAAATTTTCATTTGATTGTGGGCTATCAGTTGTAAATAGATTTCATGATTTGAGATATAAAAAGATGTTCATTGGTTATTCATCGATTTTCTTGATGGATTCAGGGATTGCTTATGAATAAGATGAAATTTATCGGTCAATAAGAGTTGAATTTTATCCAGAATATTAATGAGAAAGAAGCAAAAAATTTATTAGTCTTCGGTTAATATACTGTATTAACCTTTGGTTAAATGTTTAATTTGTAATTCAAATATTTTCTGAGCTCAGAATTTGTTTTTTGCTTCTTAAAACACAAGTTCAATGGTATCTGAAATCATGGCTAATTAAAGTACAGATTAAGTCAACTTAATGTTGGTAACAATAAATAGCTACCAAGGCAGACCAAAGATTAAAGTTACAATAATAACCAGGATTTTGAGGTTAACAAGCTTAGGTTAACCAGTTTTGGGTTAAATGGGTTTGAATTGATTTCAAAATCCTTTTTATGTTGAAAGCATTAATAACCAGGCTCATTAATAAACCTCAAATTGGCAACAATTTGATTGATAATGTTGACTCGATGATATTTAAATCAAGATTCAACAATTTCGTCAAAACTGAAATTAACATTTGAATTGAAATTTTCATTGAAATTTTCATTAAAATTTCCACCAATTTGGTTAGCAATTTATAAATGTCATTATTGATCAACAGCCATTAATTATTTTCTGGTAACCTTTTTCTGGTGCTTTTGAAAATGTCAAATCAAAAGTCAACCCAAAATTGAATTTGAAAAATTGTCCATGTTTACTGATGTTATTGGTGTCAATTCTGGTAGTAATCAATTGATTATCATACGATTATTCAGAATCTATATCTAGATAGAAATTTCGGAAAAGATAAATTTACATAATAAACAGCAAGAAAATATCATGATATATTAGAGTTTCAATTTTTCTGGTAAACAAAATGGGTAAACAAAGAAGGTACAAAAATATAGTTTACTTTTTTGCTTCTCTCCATTAGCTATTGAATTTGAATTTCCTTTCAATTAATACTGTTGATTAATTCGCAATCACCGAATCAACAACACCAACATTATAAATATCATTTGGAAAAATTGAAAGGCTTTCAAACATTAAATTGTTATTTTAAAAACTGGTTACATTGAATACAATGAGAGTAAAGAAATACCCAAAAAGGTTTCACTCTTTTAAAAGCATACATTTAAGTTTGCTATTGACTCTAGTATTTAAATGAAACAATTAAGGATACACTTAAACTGTTACCTTTTTCATTTAAAATACAGAAATGAATAACTTCTTACCTTTATTCTTATTTTTATTTCTATCTTTCATTTGGATAATTTTGCTGGCTTCCAAGAAGTCCAATTGATGAATCGTCATTTGGTTTGGCTGATTTAGTGCGTAAAGAGAATCGATTCAAGAAAATGTTTCTCAATTATGATGACATGATTCCAATATCAAGTGATCATTACAACAAGAAGGATAATTCAGTCTATAAAGATGCATTTGTTGGAGTCAGAGGATAAATACAATTTAAAATCAAGGGTCAAATTAACGATGAAAAAGGATCCAAAAGTGTCACCAATGTAAAATTATAATGTCAACATTTCCAGATGTAAGCACAAACCAAAAGGAGAGGAAAGTCTAAGAGCAACCAAAATTTGTTCTTTCACCAATTCTTGTATCATTCAATTATCTTTTAATTAGACAACTATATAATAATATTTAACAAGTTAATTTGTCAATCTTTGATCTCATCAAATAAAACACAATTGATTAAGACTCTTAAACTGTTGAATTAACCATCTTTTAAAATGTTACTTTAAGATTGTATAATGTTTATTGAAATAATGAAATTAAAAATAAAAGTCAACTTTTGACTACTGTCGCCATCTTGTTGCATTTCTTCCACTTTCCATCGTCTGATATTTACGTTTTCAACAATTGTAACAATAAATGTGAAGCTTAAATTGTTTTGAATTATCTTTTATTGTTTCGTGCTCTTCTTTTCACCCAATTAATATCCAATCAATGATATTTATCAACAATCAGGTAAGATAAATAAATGGTAAGTAGTTTTTTTTCCTGGTTTTCTGTTTTAGATTGCAATACTTGTCATTTTAACTGTAGCGTTGATTCTGTTGATGGTTATCATGTCTAATTGTATGTCAAAACCAGAATGATTACATAAATCTGATTGTACATCTTCACCACCAATTGAGATTGTAAGAGTCTTTTAGTCAAGGCAGTTTGCTTCAACATAAAAAGGTTGACATTTTTGGTAACATTTTCACCTCTTGAGACACTTGACTTGTCGCTTGACCGTAACAGGGAAATGTTGATCAGAAGCTAAGTGTATCATCAAATTGTTTACCAGACATTATTAACCTGAATTATGTCCATATTGTTCAATATAAACCATCGAGATTACCATAAATTTTGATTGTCTACATGTCCTGGTAACAAGGTCTCAGTAAAAGGTTAAAGTTACAAAATGATTATTCAATGCTAGTCGAGTTATCTACAATTAATTTGATATAATCGTTGAAATGAACAAAAATTGAAGCAATCTTTCATTTATTTGCAACAAAATTATTTGACTTTGATCTTAATAACTCTAAATTTAGATATTTTTGGTAACTCTATGGTTACTGAGCGTTCAAAAGGTCAATTGTATTTTTTGAAATTTTCTGGTCATCAATAGGACTTTGGGTTTGATTAAGGTTTATTCACTCCAGTCAACTCCATCATATTTATGGTTAAAAGATAGCTCAGTTTGGAGCTTGATAGCTATTAAAATAAATTATCGATGATTCCTAATCAACTATTTTTTCGTTCTAACCATTCAATCATGATTAACCAGGAATTAATAATTATTGTAACATAATCATGTCAAATTGATAGGATATGAATTAATGAAAGTGAGGTCTTCAGCTAACGCTTCAATCATTGTACCATGCTAACACTTTTGATCATTTTATCTTAAATCTATCGAGCAACCTTCATTATAAATGCAATTGTATCTCTTGTTTACTAATTATTTATCAAATTAATTGATAAATTGAAAATAGTGTTAATTCAGCTGATTACCGGGGAAAACGCCCGTCAATCGGAATGGTTAGAGATGCAAAAAATAAGTAAATAAATGAATTAATTGGTTAATAAAGTATTGTCAATCCATTTCTCATTTAACACCACCAATGACAATAGACATTAGATTTCAATTTTAAGTTTAATTTACAGCTAATGCTGCCTTTTATCATTAATTAATTCATCTGTTGATGAATCTAGTTCAATTTTAATCATGAAATTGCTTTTAATCATTAATCCTTTCACAATAACCTTCATTTTATTTCACATTTTAGGTAAGTTTTCAATTATTTATTGGTTATGCTTTTAATCGTTTGTCTTATTTGTAATTAAAAAATACAGGTGTTTATGGTAGTGATTTCAACTCATTAACGTGTAAATTTGACAATGATACATGTGGTTGGATAGACAAAGATCAAGTTTGGACAATTGGTAGCTCAATTAGTGATCTTCATAACCTCTCTTGGACACCAATACAAGGTAAGTCTGTTCACATGAACTCTGAATATTTTCTTGGTCGTTTTACTTTCCATTATCTCTTTGATGAATCTCTAAAAGAGTCTGGTTTTGCTTTAATGTGCTAAGTAACCTCTTGTGTCATTATTTGGTTAAGACTCTGTTTTTGGAGCTTCCAGTTCAAACGGTTTAAAACATTCAAAGATAACGTTAACTGATCATAAGATTTGACCTTATGATATATCCATAAATCAGTGTCTCTCAAATCCAAAGAATAACCAAAGGTTTTAATTTTTTCTAACAGTGTTTTGTTTTTTTTGTGATTTCTGTTTTTTAGGTGACCATGACAGTGGATCTGGAGGCTATTTGTTTGTTGATATACGCAAATTGTCACCGAAAAAATTAAATGAAGCCATATTATCAAGTCCACAACAGACTGGTAACGCGACTTGTTTAACCTTTTGGTATTATATGTTTGGTTTGGAATCTGGTAGCCTTAATATTTTTCTTGACCACCCTAATGATTCTTCCTCCTCATCATCGGAGCCAGTTTGGGAACAAATCTATAACCATGGTCGACGCTGGATAAAAGCATCGGTTGATTTATTTCCTGATTCTACTGAACCATGGATTGTTTCATTTCACGCAAGATACCCAAATGCTTTTTCAAATTATGAAATAATTGCTCTTGATGATTTTCAACTGACTCCAGGATCATGTTCATCCGATATTTGTGATTTTGAAACTTCTAACTGTGCTTGGTCATTCCTATCTTATGGGCAAACGTCATGGAAAACAGTTCAGGCCGGAGAACTTGAGCATTCTTCAATTGCAGGTGATCACACAGATCAAACAACGAATGGTCATTTTGCTTATGTTAAAGGGGCTGAGAGTCAAGACATAGCAATTATGTCTTCAATCACTTTTAATCATACTGGTTATCGTTGTATGAAGTTTTGGTACACTTCGACCACTGACGATGCTACCCTTTCTGTGTTCAAAACTAATCCATTGGAAAGATTATGGCATCGAAATCGTGATCATTATGGTGTTTGGCGACAAGGTGTTGTCAGCATTGGAGAGTCAGCCTCGAAATCGTACAGTTTAGAGTTTAGAGTTGAATTTGGTAGAGTGTTGGATGCTAGTGAATATGCCATTGATGACATTTCTATTGAACCTGGAACTTGTGTTGATCCTGTCAGCTGTGATTTCAGTTCGGATACTTGTCTCTGGACTACAGTCGCAGAAACAGAAACATTTGACTGGATAAGAATGAATGGCAATCTACTCAAAGATTCACTTGATGGACCAGGCAAGAATGACGAGGAGAGTGGCGATGATTTCTACCTTTATGCATATTTTGATCCACAATTATCTGTTAAATCAGCAATCATCGACTCAGGAGATTTTGATTCAAGTGAAAGTGGTTATTATTGTTTAAGTTTTAACCTGTTTGCTGTTAATCATGCTAAATTAGAATTGATCATTGAAATGTGGGCAAATGGAAATGAATTGAAGCCTGTTATCACTTTAACTAGTGACAGTTTACTGGAAAAGATTTGGGATCCTATTCAGAAACAATTTTTCGTGAATAATACTCATTCGGAAAACGATTTCCATTTTCTTCGCCTACGAGCGGCTTATATATCAGAGGAAGAAAAATTAGGGCCTGATGGAAGACCTTTGCCTCATCCATTTGCAAGTTTAGCCATTGATGACATCAATCTTTTTAAAGTAACGTGCGGAGAAATCACATCAACTGTAATACCCAATCCACCACCAACTACACCCTCGATAAATAATTTTGCTTGTGATTTTGAAAAAGATTTGTGTGATTTAATCAATGACAATATTGAATCAGATTCTCCCTGGTATTTGCGCTCTGCTTTAAAAAGTAAAGGTGATGGTCCAAACGTACCCAAAGTTGATCATACATATGATGACCCGAACGGCCATTTCTTGTTTTCAAAAGCTAAAAGTAAGGGAGATGAAATGATCAGTGAATTATCAACTCGAGTGATTAAAGCATTGGGATCAATTGATGGTGGCTGTCTGACCTTTTGGTACTATATAAGAGGAAATAAGGAAAGCTCACTATCTATTCAAATGGTAACATCTGATTCAGAAATAATCACTATCTGGAAACGTTCTGATATTAGCGATGATTATTGGTATCAAGGCTATGTTAACATTAAACCAGTAACTTTTGATTTCCATTTAAAATTTATTGCTAATCATGATAATTATGATTCTGGAATTGCTTTGGATGATATAAATTATTCGTCTGGTTCATGTTCATTTAACCCCAATTTGTGTGATTTCGAATCAGGTTCGTGCGGTTATGATAATGGTAACTTCTATGATGAAGTCTGGAAACTTGCCAATGGTTCGTCAACTGACTCCATCGCTTTCGACTACTCTACTCAAACAGAATCTGGATCATTTATTTATGCCCAATTCAATGATGAAAAGCAAAAGTTTGATGATAAAGAGGGTCTTTTGATTTATGATAAATTCGTTGCTAGTAATCTAAATTGTATACAGTTTGCCACGAAGGTAAAAGATGGCCAATTGTCCCTCATTGTCGGTTTAGACATCGATGAATCGTCACAGACAACCATTTGGTCTTTAAATTTCGCTCCTTTATGGACTATGATTAGAATGCCTTTACCTTTTCCTGGTGAATTAAAAATGATTGCCTTTAGCTTCAAAGGTAATGGTTATGCTGCCTTGGATGATATTACTTTTCTAAGTGAATGTCAACCTTTGGGTTACTGTAATTTTGAGACTGATTTGTGTGGATGGACAACTGATTCAGATGTATGGGAATCATTCAGACGTGCCCATGGAAGAGATGAAAATGTTTACAGCCCAGACTATGATATTACCACCAGAAAAGATTCGGGATCATATGCATTAGCTTTGTTTGATTCTAACAAATCAAAAAAATATGCTTCTGAAAAATACAGTTTAATCTCTCCATTGATATCGACAACAACTGACCATTGTTTGTCTTTCTGGTATTATGGTAATGGTAAGGATGTAGCTGCATTTTTTGTAAACATCCGCGAATATGAGCCCGATGGTCAGTACAATGTCCTTGGTCTGGATACAATTCACCCATCTGATCAAACACCGGTTTGGCATCACAGAAGCTATGCAATAAATCCAGTTGAAGGATACTCAGGCAAACCATTCGCAGTTGAATTGAAAGCTTATGCCAAAATGAATACCAAAAGACCCACTCTAATCGCTTTTGATGACATTGAACTCTATCCTGGTATATGTTCAGAGAGTAAAGAGATAATTGATGAAACTGTTTTTAAATGTGATTCAAATGCAAATAACATAACTGGCAATTTAATTTGTGATTTTTACCCGGATTGCAAGGACTCTTGGGATGAATCTAAATGTGGGGATAATTGTGATTTTGAGACTGATTCTTGTGGCTGGACGGGAGGCAGTTATACTGATAAACATTTGCTGATTGTTGATACAAGCAGAAAAAAGGTTACACCTGACAAGGATGTTACATTTAACACTGCAGGTAAAGGCTCTTACTGGAAGTTGAACACAAAGGTAAGATTTGAATATTTAGCAAGGCATTAAAATTGCTGCCATTTAAATAAAAATCATAATGTGTAATGAAATTCAATTTTACATTCTGTTTTTTTTCTGTTTATTAGACATCGAGAAATTTGGTTTACCTAAGTCCAGTGATGAGAAACTCTGGTGAAAACTGTTATATTTATTTATCGCTATACATGAACATTGCGAGTAAAACTAGAACCAAATCTTCCGACAAGTCTTTATTGCCGCATTTAACTATTAGTATTGTTGACTTACGTTCAACTTTGGTAACTCAAATTCACAGTATCTTTGATGATTTGGGAAAAAAGTGGCATCCAATCAATCTATATATTGGCCGAATCAATAGCGATTTTCAATTACGTATAGAGACAAGAACTTCAAAAGGTACTGATGTGATTGCAATTGATGATATACATTTTGACCCTGCCTGTGCTGTTCCTCGAGTCGGAGATGCAACTTCATGTTCCTCGCAAGAATTTTTTTGCTCTCGAATGAAAAGATGCATCAGCTCATCGTTAACTTGTGATTATCGAGATGATTGTGGTGATGGAGAAGACGAATCAACTGGATGTGCTTTAAGATCAGGTCGATGTGATTTTAATCAGGATTCATTGTGTGACTGGTCAATTAATTTAACCCAAAATGTTACTGAAAGATGGCGTATAGTTGATCATGATGATCTTTCATCTGATCTAGGGTCAATCTATCCAACTCGTGATCATACACTAAACAATGGGTTAGGAAAATTTTTAGTTAACACTGGAACATCAGGTGACAACAAAATGTATTCATTGGACAGTCCATCGCTGTTTCGCTCTGATCCCGAGTCCATTTGTTCATTAACATTCTATTATCAGTTTACTGATGATAAATCAGCAATCAAAAGTCTTGATCCAGCCTCACCTGATCATAATTATCTAGAAGTTTCAATTGTTTTACCACACATACCAAATAGCAGAAATACATTGGAAATAATACAAGGATCATACGTATTGGATTCACCTCATTTTAAGAGAGCAGCAATTAACATCGGACCAGAAATTGTAAAAAATAATAGATTATTCAAAATGAGTTTATTGGCTGTGCATTCATCAGATTCGAGTGCATCATGGGCTATAGATGATATTTCATTCAATTCAGATTGCCTTTTGGCTGATTGTTACCTTCGATGTCAGAACAAATTTTGTGTCAGTTTGGATCATCGCTGTGATTTTATTGCAGATTGTGTTAACGACGACGGTTCCAGTGAAGATGAAGATAGCTGTACAGCTCCTACTTGTCCATTTGGCATGGGTGATACTTGTCATTGGGATATCGTACAAGCAAACGATTCGGATTCTTTGTCCTGGAGACTTTATCAACCCATAAGTGATCCTACAGATGAACCATCATTTATAATACCAAAATATGATGCCACTAATGAAGATTCATCTGGTTGGTTATTGTTGTTTGATTCAAGAAGTGCAAATGTTTCTGGACAAGCTCAACTTTGGTCTCAAATGATTGGTCGATCAGCTGCTCAATGCTCTCTCAGTTTTAATTATTTTTGTGAACTAAACCAATGTGACTTAGCCATTTACTTAGAAACGGACATCGATAGACCTGGTGCTAGTTTAAAGCGTCTTTGGGAACCTCATAAACCTTCATCAGCCTACGACCTAACAGCTAAATGGCGATCGGGAATGGCTTTCATTGGTGCAACTAAATATAGTCGCATATTGATTACTGCATCCAGTGATTTTAATAATCAAAAATTTTCTATCGGATTAGATGATTTAAATTTCATTGACTGTACACCTCCTCAATCATCAGAATTTGGCTGTGATAGAGAATCTTCATTCCAGTGTGCAAATGACAACTGTATAGATAAATCGTCTGAATGTGATTTTGTAGATGATTGTCTTGATGGATCTGATGAAAGTGAATCATGCCAATCTTTACCTGGGCGATGTGATTTTGAGTCATCTTGCACATTTTGGATGTCAGATTCTTTCAAAACAGACAGATTTTCACCTCTTTCATGGGCTCAAACTCCTGATTTACCTGCATTCGATCACACTCTTGGTGTCTCATTCGGTACTTATTTGAGTCTTTCTGGAGCTCAAAAGCCTGTAGATGTATTGGCGCAACATTATTCACAAATCATTAGAGGCTCTAAATCAAAGAATTGTATGATTAAGATTTGGACAAACATTATTGATTTTCAATCAAAAAGTGAGCTTGTAATTTATCAGAGATTCAATTATTCTCCATCTGGCTATCATGTTGTTGGGCGTATTTCAGTGAATTTCTTAGGTGACTACTGGAAAAAATATGTGCTAAAATTACCCGATACTCAAGACGACTACCAAATTGTTTTGGAAGGATCCATTGAAAAAAACAGCGACGCTTCAATCAATATTGATGATATAACACTTACTGAAGGTTGTTATATCGCACCGAATGACACTAAATTGCCTGGTAAAGAAGATGAACCGACAACACTTCAACCGACTGAACCATTATTTGGCTGCTATTACGGCTACAAACCATGCTCATCTGTGATTAAATGTTATCCCATTGAAGCTGAATGTGATTTTAAAGATGATTGTGGTGATGGTACAGATGAATCAAACTGTCCTACGACCTGTACATTTGAAGATGGTTGGTGTAACTGGACTAATTCATCGTCCGGGGATGTGAAAGATGGCGAATGGATAATCCAAAAAGCATCAGACTCCGATGGTAAAATACCTACAGATCATACAAAAAGCGATGCTACTGGATCTTATGGATTAGTGTTATTTGAACCAGACGCTACAAACATTTCAGTCAGTCTGAATTCACCTAGTTTTTCATCGTCTGGGCCAAGATGCTCATTTTCATTTTATTACTACCTGCCTCTAGACTGGGATGATGTTGGATTAACAGATCATCGTTTGGAAGTATTACTTAACCAGCCCGGCAACGACAGTAGATTAATTAGTTCTGTTCCAGCTCATCACGAAAAACAATGGTTCTACAGTTATGTTGAACTAGGACAGATTGATTCAAACTTTAGTGTGACAATTAAAGCTATCAAACAAAATGAACAACACGCAATTGAAACCATCGATGATATTTCCTTTGAAAATTGTGCTCCATTGAAGAAAAGTATTATGGAAGACTGTCCAGTTAACGAGTGGGAATGCCAATCGAAATGTATTCCTATTGACAGATTATGTGATGGTGTAAGTGACTGTACTAATGGTGACGATGAAAATATGTGTACAACACCAATTGGAAACTGTGACTTTGAAGAAAATTCATGGAGAGATACTTGTGGTTGGATCGAAACTGATTCTGATCAATCCTGTAGCCTTGTAAGCGGTGACTCAGAATATCCTAATTCTATAAAATTAGAATCGAATTCGATGTGGCCTTGTTCATCTACTCTGATTAGTCCCAATTTCCCTTCAATGGTAGAAGATTATTGCCATTTTACTTTCCAATTCAAATCTGAATCAGTTTCGAATCTTGCGGATTCGTCTATAGAAGTAAGTTACTTACAATTTTTTATTGAATTACGCCGATATTTGAGAACCCAAGTGTAATTAATTTAATTATTTCCTTTCTCTTCAGCTCGGTATTAAAGGAAGTGACAGTCCAGTTCAACAGTTAAGAAGATTTAAAGGAAACCAAAAGTCGCAAGATTGGACTACTTATCATATTGCAATTAATAGCACACAACCCTATCAAGTTTATTTAATTGGATCAATCGATGATGATGCAAAGATTCGTTTTAAATCTTTCAGATTTTCACCTAACTGTCACTCAGGAAAACCATTAACACTTGACCTTTACACAAATAAAACGGAACCTTGGGTACTTCCAACCTCGCCATCGCCTCCAATAACCACAAAGCCCTCAAGTCATAAACCTACCTCAAAACCTACTCCAAAACCACCTCCAAAGCCAACTCCTAAACCAACCCCTAAACCAACCCCTAAACCAACTCCTAAACCCATTCCTAAGCCAACACCAAAACCAATAACGAACTGCAAATGTGAAGAAAGTCCGATTCCTGCAGAGTGTCGCGAAATTTGTGGTAAGTACAATTTTTAGTATTTTTCCTTATTATTCAAATTTTCTCGGAATATTAATCATTCGTTTCATTTTTTTCAGACGCACAAAAACAAACCAAACCAGTTGAAAAACATTCCAATAGTGCATCAATATTATGTAAGTATACTTATTGTTATTATCTTGGGAATGCGATAATTTCCTTAAAGCTTTAATTAGTTACAACGCAAAATTAATCAATTATTCACCTGTATTATGAGTTAAGTTATGAATTTTTGCAGCTTATGTGAGTGAAATCTAAAATTATATGAGTTGGTCAGAAAGCTTTGCACGAAAAAGTTGGCTTTTAAATCAATGCTTAATGAAAATCAGATGAGATCATTTAAGCAATTATGAAAGATGCATAATTAAATTATAAATTATTGAGTTTAAGTTTCAATTATATATTAAATCTGGGAATTCTGAGGTCTAAAAGTCTGACAAAAAAGTTTATTCGCTTAGTTATTTCATATCACCATATTTCCCTGGCTCTATCTGAGTATCATCTGTTTTCACTCACCAAGAGTGTTTCACTCGCTTCTTTAATTTTGAAAATATTAATTTATAATTTCCAACTTCAATTCTAGATATATCGTTTGGAGTAATAGCTTCAATTGCGATTGTTGTCGTTTTTGTTTACTTGATTTCCCCTGCAATTGCACGACGAAGGAATGGCCAATATCGTCAAGCAATTCTTGATGACAGATTCAATGAAGATGTTACATTTGATGTAACCGGTGGTAACTATCGAAATTCATCAAGTGATCGTAATTTGTTTGGACTAGCAGAAACCAAATCAAGATACAGAAATCGAGAAGATTCACTATAACATTACAATCATCTTGGTAAGGCGACTAATTTTATAGATATTTTATAGATGTTTAATATTTTATATTTTGAGACTAAAATTTTTTTGTCAATTTTGTACAAATTCATGAAGAAAAATTCAAAGCAGATCAGAACTGCGTATTTTAATGGCTTTAATGAATAAAATGTTTTATACACATCAACAGTTAGCGTCAATTTCAAATGTTTGTTGCCTACAAAAATGACTCTTCGATTGTATTCAAATTTTCAATTGCCAGCCTCAATTTTTTTTGATAGACTTGATTTTAATTTTTTATTTTTTATCGGCAAAAATACATTTTACTCAAAGAGTAAATTATTGAAACTCAAAACAATATATGGCGCCATCTGAGAGCGAACTTAAGAAGGTAAGAACTAAATCTCAAGCTGAAGTTTTGCCCTGAGCTCTCATGTTGTTTTAATATTTGATAATATTGTATTAAATAATAAAAATGGATAATTACAATGTAAATTTTCAAAAATCCTAGATGGAACAGTAAAATTGCTTAACTGGTAACATCAGAGTGTCTATAAATAAAAGTCATTGGCTTAAATTCAGAAATCAATATTTAAATCGTTTCGAGTTTTATAATTTGAATAGCTAATTCCTAATCCAGTCCGATATCCGGATGCATTTAAATCAAACATTAATGACTTTTTGTTGATCACAAACCAATAGTTAATTTAACTGAAGTATTTAAAGTTAAATCATAGTTTTCGTTTGATTCATTACTAAACACTTCACTAGATGGTATTAGTTTACCCATAATTTGCTTCCCTCGACCACATGTTTTTAAATTGTTTAAATAGGAAATAAAATCATCTATTTCTTATTCTTTAATCTTTATAATTATACCAGTATTTAATTAACCGGTGCTTGAAGTTGAAACATAATGGCAGCGCCTCCAGGAATGCCGGCTGATTTCAGCTCACCATCAACACAGATGCGATTATTCAAAGAATATATGATTGACTTTAATCGTTTGGCCGAACAGTGTTTTAATGATTGCATTTTTGATTTCACTCAGCGTAAAATGACACCCAAAGAAGAAAAATGTGAAGACAATTGTGTTCAAAAATATTTCAAAGTAAACCAACGTTTGAGCAAAAGATTTTACGAGATCCATGCGGTTGAAAATCCATTGGACAAAGCTTCTGCTTAAGCCCTTAAGTCTCTAGCTCATATGTTTCACCACGTGTTCTCTACTAAACCGATCAGTCTTTATTAGTAGTTTATTACAAACATTATATTCAAGTGAAACTCTAATTTTTTTGTTTACTGGACAATTATCTATACACTAGATTTCATATTTTTTTGGTTTTGTTTATTTAGTTTTATTAATTAGTATCGCAAGTAGTTGCACTAATTTTCAACATGGGTTTAACTACAGACTACACGCGATTCTCTGCCAGTGGTGATCCTTTTGGATTGATTGGATCATCCAATAGCTGTATTAGATATGTGAAAATCAATGGAATAGCCGATAAATATGTAGCCACGAGTGGACTTCAACACATCAACATTTGGGATATTAAAACACAACAATTGATTTACACCATTGGGTCTGGCACTGCCATGATCACTTATTTTGCTGTAGACTTCACCAATGAACCTTTAATTGCCATTGGACGAGATGATGGTTCCATTCAGATTGTTAATTATGCCACGCAAGATCTTAAAATAACATTTAACGGACATAAAGGAGCCATAACTTGCCTATCTTTCGATTCTAAAGAGATGAGACTTGTATCTGGAGGAGTTGATACGACTATCATTGTTTGGGACATAGTCAATGAATGTGGATTATTCAAACTAAAAGGCCATAAAAACCTCATCACCCAAGTCAAATTTATGAAAAATCATAATTGTATGATTTCGAGCTCTAAAGATGGTACAATCAAGTTCTGGGATCTTGAAACTCAACACTGTTTCAAAACATTTATTGCTCATAGAAACCAAGTTTTAGACTTCATCCTTATCAAGAATGATACCAGGTATATATTTATCACTTTTCTACCATCTGTCCTTTTCTAATATCTTCTTTTTCTACAGATTGATTACAGGTAGTGATGAACTCAAAGTTTGGAAGATCCAACTCAAATCAGAAGCGGAACTTTCTAAAGAAAACACAGACGAGATGGAAGAAGAGGAAGAAGTGGAGGATAGTGAAAATGTCGAAGACGAGTCTAGTTTGTTCAAAGTAACATCTTATGGGTCAATTTTAAGAGAGTGTGATTCTCGTTTCCGAGGTTTTGGAATAGATTCTAAAGACAGATTTTTCCTCAGTTATGGTGTCTCTGCAAAAGTTGAGTGTTTCAAAATCAGAACGGATAAAGAAATTACCCTAAAGGTTCAGAAAAAGGCTCGAAAAGAGCGAAATAAAAAGAGCAAGAAAAGATTAGCGAATGAAAATGAACCAGAAATTGAAGAGACTTTCGATGAAGTTCCAATCACCATCAAAGATGAAATTGAACGACTAGAATCTTTTAAAGCAAGTGCAAAAGTTAAATTCTGTGATATCTTTGTTCAAAATCAAATATCCAAAGTAACCTTGTTGCTGATGAACAATACTACAGAAACCTTCTCCTTCAACTTAGTCAATTCTGAAGTTGAAAAACTTGGTAGCCTGGAAAATGAAGGTCATCGGACTGATGTTCGAACTGTTTCATTCAGTGCGGATAATCTTTTGATTCTTTCAGCAAGTAGTGACTCTTTGAAGATATGGAATAGGTCTACCCGAAGATGTATAACAACCATCAAAGAAGATTTTGAATATGCTTTATGTTCATTGTTTGTTCATGGAGATAAGTACGCTATTACTGGAACCAAAACTGGTAAACTTCAAATATTTGATATCGGATTGGCAGAAATAATTGAGACCATTGAAGCGTCAGAAGAGGGTAAACCAATATGGTCAATATGTGCCCATCCAGATGGAAAAAGTATTATCTCCGGATCAGAGGATAAGATTGTTAAATTTTGGGACCTTGAGCTTGTCAAATCACCAAAAACCAACAAAATGGTTATTACCTTGGTTCATTCAAGAACCTTGTCCACTGATGAGGGTGTTCTTTGTGTTCAAATTAGCCCCAATTCAAAATTTATAGCCGTTTCCATGTTGGATTGTACCGTTAAAATTTTCTACCTCGACACACTCAAATTTTTCCTCTCGCTTTATGGTCATAAACTACCCGTTCTATCAATGGATATATCAGACGATTCATCTATAATTGTTACTGGTTCAGGCGATAAAAATTTGAAAATTTGGGGTCTCGATTTTGGTGACTGTCGACGTTCAATATTTGCTCATGACGAAGCAATAACAGGGGTTAAATTTGTTCCAAATAGCAAGCTGTTATTCACTTGTAGCCGAGATAAAACAATCAAATATTGGAATGCTAGTGACTTTGAACGAATAATGACTCTTAAAGGGCATCAATCGGAGGTCTGGTGTCTCGCTTGTAGTCCTAATGGTAAATACCTTGTTTCAGCTTCTCATGATAAAACTTTACGTCTTTGGATGGAAACTGATGAACTGCTAATTTTGGAAGAAGAACGAGAAATTGAGAGAGAAGAAGAATTGAACAATTTAACCGATGATGACACCAATCGCGTTATTCCAGGTGATGTTAATCAAGAATCTTCGCTTCCTGTAAAATCTACCAAAGAAACCATTATTGCCACTGAACGGCTTATTGAAGCGATTGACATCTTCAAGGAACAAATTAAAGCGAATGCATTATATAACGCTCAATGTCAAACAGCAACAAGTGAAGGGAAAAAGCCACCAAAATCATTAGCTCCTAATCCAGTTCTGTCAGCCTTTAAAACTGATGATCCATACCGTTATATATACATTATTTTGACTCGGATTAAACCAAGTGAAATACAAGAGACTATTTTAAGTTTACCTTTCAATTATGTCTCCGACTTGCTCATCATTTTAACCAGCCATTTAGAGAAAGGTTGGGATCGTGAAATGATCTTAAAGTACATTTGTTTCATTATCAGGTAAATATTCACCTACAAATTTTTCTAAAAATATCATTCTTAATCTTCAAATGGACTGAATTAATTTCTTATTTTAAACTCTTTTCTCCTTTTAGAACCCATTTCGGCCAAATTAGCTCAACTCCAAGACTTATTCCTACCATTGATAAATTGCGATCTCTTATGAAACCAAAACTGATGGAAACAAAGGTAACAATAATAATGAGAAATAACAAACACCATTTTCCAAAAGCCAATATTTCATTCTTTTTCTAACCTTTTATCTTTTTTTTTACTTTCGCTTTTCTATATCTTTTCAGGATTTATTTGGTTTCAATCAATCGGCTTTCCAATTCCTACAAAGTGAAATTGAATCAAGAGAAGAGATTAGATTGTTCTATGAGACATTTAATAAGAAGCGCGAGAAATCTCGGAATAAGCGTAAAAAGGCGAGAAAAGTTGTTGAGAATGCTCCAATATTAAGTTTAAAATGAATAAAGATTGTTTTCACAGTTGATTGGTTAACTCTTACCTTCATTTTCTCATGATTTCTTCTCTTCCTATCTTTTTGTCGGATGAATACACCTTACACCAAACCTAAGCCTACAAATATGAATCTTGAATGATCGAGCAAGAGTTTACTCTTGAAAAGTTGAATCAAAAAGGGTAGCAACAAGAAAATGATGATGATGATCATTCACAGAAAAAGTGAATCAACTTAAAAATCATCTTTTTGTGTTTCTCTTTTTCCTTTAAATCAACCAATTATTTAATAATAACAATGATAATAATACTAATCATAAAATACTTCTTATACTATTCATTCTCGCTGAGTGATCCTCCGTTTCCTGTTAATTTGATCCTGTGAATCCATAACTTTTAATGATGTAAACCATGGAAAAATGAAAAGATGAAAAGGCTCGTTTAACTAATAACCATGGACCTGTTAACATTATAAATCATGTTGAGCCAATATTTTTGGATATTTAACTTGCAATGAATCACAACTGTCCCGATAATCACGGTCCATCAACAAATTCAAAGCAACTGAGACCAAACTGAAAGTGTCCACCAAGCTCAATGACTCAACACGATTCCATTGTAAACTGACAATTAACCTGATGATACTGATTGACTTGGTTAAAGGAAAAACATTTTTCCTTTTCTACCTTTCAAATGTTGACTTTATTTCATTTTTGGATGCATTTTTTCACCATTTTTACCTTTCCCTCAACCTGATATTGTTGAATCTTTAAGCCGCCCATTTCCTTGAATTGTTAGCTATTTTACGGATCAATAAGCTCAAGAATTTTTACAATCTTTTTTCTTCAAGCAAAGATTCAAAGACGATGATTAAGAAAAAGCTAGAAAAGATGAAGTACAAGAAGCAAGCAAAAAAAGCTAAAGGAGGAGGAAGACGAAGAATATGAAGAAGAAGTTATAAAAAAATCTTTACACTGGAATTTCAAGTCTATAATAATATCATTTTGCTTTTCATAATACGGTCCATTGCGGCGAGAAAATTAACCTTTAAAGTTAATTCTCATCGGACATAATCAGTAAATTTACCATTAACTTGATATTGTCAAAATATTTTGTATCTTGTTCATATTTTTACCTTATTGTCACCAACTCCAAGATTTGAACAGCAACACAAACAAAATGGAATCGTGAACAGTTAATGGTGGACTTTCATATTAAATTGTAATCAACTTTTCATTTGATTAGAGTTGATGGAGAGTTGATTAGTTACAAGTTGATTTTACACGTTAAATAATTGTGACGATGATATAAAAAAAAAGAGGTTTGATAATACAGACTGAGAATTATTGTTTTCATTATTGCAATCATGGCTCATAAACGTTCAAGTTAACGGTTTGATATTTTGATCACTAATCAGTCAGTAAATTAACAACAATAATATCTTCAATTTTCAAGAAAAAAAATTGTTCATCTCAATCTCAATCTTATCTTGAAACTCTTGAGGTAAAAAAAGATGCAGAGAAAAGGTTTACCGATAATTTTGTCCAACAAAAATTCACATTTCTTGATCATGATTCAAGAGTCAATTTTAATCAACAATTGGACCTAATTGAGTCGACAAAAGATGAACTCAATCAACAGAATCAAAGAAACTTAAAAAAGAGCAAAATTTTACTCCAAAAATTGTGCTTCCATTGCTGTTGTCAAAAGAGTTACATCTTTATGAGTAAAGCGTTGAGTTGGACAAAAAAAGCCAAGAAAAATACAAATCTAATCTTGTTCCATTGTTAATTAATACAACTGATTAATTCATATTTAGTCTTGTAACTGTCATGGTTGGATCAACGTTGCTCATTATTGTTGTACAATTGTACTTTCCTCTTCACAGTCATCAGTCTAATTGTAAAATACACATAATTTTGAATGATAACAAAATTATTAAAACTGGTCGACTATTAGATAAGCAATTGTAACCAGTCTTGTCAACTTGTTACTCTCTGGATGCCTTACGGCTAATAATTCATTTCTATTTCAGTTTCATTTCCATTTTGTCATGAACTTGTCAACTTGAGGTTGCTGTTGATTAACAAACAAGAAACTGACACAAAAGATTCACAACAAATTAAGATTAACTAATGAATATAACAAAGGTAAAAGGAAAGTTGATTAACATAATAAAGTGATATAAAACTTGACATGACAATCAACATGCAACAAGCAAAACTAAAACCATTATTATCATTACTATTAGCATTATAGTTAACACATGCATTTTAATCAGTGAAAATGAATTTAACTGAATAAAAAAAGGCAAAGAAAAGGCTGAAAATGAATTGAACATTTTTGCTAGGGAAATTGAAAATTACTTGAAGACACAAAAGAATCGCAAACATTAACATTAAACATTTAAGCAAATTAAACAATTCACATAATCATTAAAGAAAAGCCAACTATTTGAACGTCTTTACCTTCATTATCATGTTCAGCATCATCATCATTGCTTATCGTTCAGCATGACCATAATCATAAATGTTTGTTATTCATATCTAAATAACATGGGAAAAACGGCGACAATTGTCTCAACAGTCTAAAATAATCAACTATTGATACTAACCACTAGCTCGTTAGTCATGGTAATGAATCAACAATTGTCTAATTGTTGCCATCAGTATAATCAGTAAAGATGAACATAACTCAAATGGTAATAAAACAAAATAACAATTTGTGTGATTCACATTTTAACACATTTTCAATTGTTGTATGCAAAAACAAGTCAAGATTAGATTAAATCAGTGAATGATTAGTGGAAAAAGGCAAGAAATATTGACGATTAAATCAAATTCTGGACTCAATTGTGCTCTAATATTGTTACAATTGACAGTAAATTTACAATACAAAAAACAATTAAAAGGATTTTTCAAAATCGATCTTCACAAATCTCTCCTTGACTACATTACAAGACATTGGAAGCGCTTGAAATGTCAGTTTCTTGAGGTAAAGCAATTTTAAAATGAATTTTGATTTACAATCAAATTAAAATCTTATTACAATTCAAATCATTTTGCTTACACTTGGATGTACCACAAGTAAGATGACGATGAAAAGCGTTATTATCATTAATCCAGAATAGATTAAGTCACTAATCATAGATTTCTGAGATTTAGCATATTCTTTGAATGTATTTATAAACCTTTCTATTTTGATGTCAATAATTTATATCGGAATGAATCTAAGAATGGAATTTGATGAAAATTCTTTTAATAGAATGAAAATATTCTTGAATATTTAGTCTCTTCTCATGACTCTCATTAACCTTACATTTGCCTCTTTCCTCAAGGTGTTAATTGAATGCAACTCATTATCGTGCAACAATATGATTGACGTGAAAATTGACAATCAAATTAAGCAATTAGTTATGAAAAAACAACATTAAATGTTGAAGATGGTGACACTCTAATAACATGTTTTTCATGACTGATCAACACAATTAATACGCTTACATAAACTATGGATTAATTAATCAACTGACCTGAAAAACATGAGGTTAAACACAAATGGCAATTGATTGAGTTATCAAGGTAAAGACAATTGAACAAAATGGACCAAAAAAGTTGAGTTTCAATTTTCATTATTTTTTCCAGTTGAAAACAATTTCAATTGAAAATAAAAATGAATTCAATTTTTAATCAAAGGTAATGATCAAATGGCTTCTTCATTATCAGTCATTATTTAAGTTTAAAGGTGAATTGTTGTTTAATCAATTTGTTATCATTTACTATTATTAATCGTCTTAAGTGGCCTTTTCATTGATTAAGTTTATTTTGCATAATTTAATCATGAAAATATCAGCGTGAGTATAAATATCATAATATAAATGTATTAATTTATAAGATGATGATTATTGTAAATGATTAGCTTTCAAGAGTACCTAAAGTAAATAGTTAATTTCAATCTCTATTTACCTAAATCATTTGGTCTTAATTACAACAATTTACTTCACCTTATCGGGCTCATTTTGTTTTCATCTTTTCTCTATCATTTTCAGCTTTTTTTTTATATTGTATATTAACTTTTGCAATTAACGTAAATGCAAAGTTCAATCACTTCTCATTATTATTTAATAATATTAATAGTATTATAAACAACAGTCTAATTACTTTTGAGAATTGAAAATACACATCAAATCATAATTAACTCATTGTTCACCTAATCAATCTTTTCTTTCCCATCCAACAATTATAATTGTAATACCAATTGCTTTTGTTTCATTTGTAAATAATGATCAGAGAAGAGCAGAAAATGTGAATCACAGAATCAAGAATTCTGATTTTTCTTGATAATCCATTAATGGGTTAACCGATTGACCAGTTTACCAGAAAATGATTTTTGATTCAAATCATGTTGATATGAAATCTTGATGAAGAAAATTCTTTACCTTTTTCTGATAATGATACAAATGATTATCAAATGATTAGGGAAACCATTTTGAAATTGTTCACTTTTTTCTTGATATCTTTTGCCTTAATCAATATGAAATTGGCAGTAAAAAAGATGATTTAAGGTGAAAAAATTAAAATCAAAAGTTATTGATGATAAATTATTACGATTCCTATCAATCAGCTATAAAGACTGGCAATTATTAGACAATACAATCGTAATTAAGATGGAAAGGAATCAAAGGTTGCATTGTATAATAATGAATGTTAATTAAAGGAAAATAAGATGAAAAGGAAATGATAAGATAAATTGAGACTAAAAATTGTAACAATTAACGAGTCAATAACATTAGAGTGAATCAAAAATATGCAAACAAATACTCGAGTAAACCCAACAAGACTATTGAAGTTGAAGTGATTGGCGCATTTTTTCATCAATTTTAAACTTTAAATTGAATAAAGAACGGAATTGAATTGATGACAAAAAAAGGGTTGCAATAAACAATTGGATCAAGAGTCAACTATTCAATTTGCGGTAACAAATTGAACTTACAATGGTGAAGAAAAAAAGAAGGAAGAAGATGATAATGATAAGGTTGTCAATGATGATGATGATGATATTGGTGTTGATGATTATCATTGAAACGTTGTCGTTGTCGATTCATGTTAAATCATATATTCATTATGATTATTATTACTCTATTATATTATGATGATTAAAGATAAATAATATATAATAGATAAACTGATAAGGATGGTGAAGATGATGGCAATGAGAGACATTCTAATGTCTATGATCTCTATGATGATTAGACTGGTGATGAAGAAAGATGAAAAGTTGGTAAGCTTGAAAAGAAGTAGATTAAATGTTTAATACACACTCCTCCCCTCAAACCACCCACTCCACTCTCTTCCTCCTCTTTTCCTTCTACTCTCTCTCTTTCTGCCTTCCATTTCTTATCTTTCATTTTTTTATATTAATTTATCTTCTTCTCTCTTAATCTTCATGGTCTTTACCGTTGCCCTGCCCTTTCTAATTTTCTGTCTCTCACCCTCTCTCTCCTTCTGTCTCTCTATCTCTCTATTCAGCTTGTTCATGATCATCTTACTACGTTCATCATCGTCAACTTTTGTCAAAATAATGGCTCAAAATAATTTCTTACACTTTTCTATTCTCCCTCCATTTCTGTTTCTCTCTCATGTTTTCCTTCACTATTTTGCTTGTCTCTCTGTTGTTTTTTCATTTCTAATAATTATCACTAATATGTGATGTATTAATGACAATTTATAAGCTCACTCTATGCTCACTTTGTCTCTATCTAACATTCATTCTGTCTCATCATCATCATCCGTGTTGCAACAATAATCATCATCAACTATTATCCTCTGTTTATCAACACTTTTTATCACCTTCTAACCATTGACGTTTTACCATAGATCCAACAGTGACATTAACCACCACAATTTTAGCATTTCAAACTGTTCACCAGCAATATTCCCTCCTTTTAAGGTGTTCACTGGACACCTGATTCATCCATGATTTAAATAAACACGTCAAACTAATTTGATTAATTCCAATTGTTTTCCTTTCTTGTGCGTCTTGAATCCTTTTGAGGTTTAACAACGGTTATCCATCTAACGCATCAATCCACTTGCAAGTGTACAACCGAACCACCATTATCACACCTTTACGCATTGCCATTCTTGAAAACCTATCCTGGATACTTGTGTCAGTGTATTTATGTTCATTTATAACCAAGATTACGCTCGTTTCCACCAAGAAAGTGTTACTAAATTAACCAAAAGTGATTCAACAGCAACAAAACCAAAAACAATAGGACATCTTTCGTCGTCATTTTACTCTTGGATTGCATGAAAAATTTTACCAAATACTACACATGAGTGACAATTTATTCCTCCAATTAAACCATTAAATCTGTGAGTGGATAAAAATAAACACAAAGAGTAAGTAGATGTCATAAAATTAAAAATAAATCTTACCTAAAACAGATTTCAAATTAAAAGTTTAACGGTTTTATGAAACAAAAAATGTTTAATCATTCAATGAGATTCCAATAAACTTTGACAAAAAAAAACAGTCAACGCCATCTGTAGTGATTAAAAATCTAATCTCTTTCTTTTTTCTTTTTCTTCTAGACTTTGATTAGGAAAGAGAAATCGAAAGAGAAATGGATTTAATTACAATAGATGGCACTGACTCTTTTTTTTGAAAAAGCAAACCATTAAAGTTATTAACGACTTTTTACTTGTCTGTGAAAAAATTAAATTAGTTTATCATGTTAATTTATTTGAAGCAAATTAATAGTGAACTTTCACCTTGGATTACAACTGTTTAACTATCAAAGAATACATATTTTATGTAAATATTGATTCAAATTGGACTTATCTCTAGTACAGTGTTTAATAAACAAGCAAAACCTTGACCTGAAGCTTTCCCAGTCTCATTTTGATACCTGTTTATTTACCTTAAACCCAATTACTATCTACAGTTTTAGGTAAACTAACACTGATTACCAGCTTTAATGTGAATAAATAATCAACTGTAATTTATAGCTGATTATCAGAAGAAATTGGAAGTTTTATAGTGATGATAATATTGTGCCAAATTGATTGTGTCTAAACATTATTGATACAGAAATAATAATTGCCTTGGTTTGCTGATTTTTATTTTTTGCTTTGCATGAACATTTTGTTTTTTTCCCTTTGTTACAATTCAAGTGAATGAAGAAATAGATGAAGATGATAGAAAAAAGGTGCGATAATCATCACAATTACAAGTCAACTATCAATTGAAAGACTCATCCTTGTAAAGTAACAAGAATGCAACTTGAAAAATCGGGCAAAGTAAAAAAAGGAGAGAAGCTGATTGATATTGATGTTACTAAGGTGAATTACAATTTACTAATTGAATGTTAACCATATCGGTATTGTTTAAAATTACCTAATTGAGAAGAGCATATAATGAAAGATATCAAGGTAAGGCTTTGCATATTAGTCTGACAAAAGAAAGGTTAGGCTTTATGGAACGTCATTTTAGGCATTGCTTTCGTTTTTTTTTGATAAAATTTACTCTAAATCAAAAATAACAATTCTTCCTTCTTTTTTTGCCTTCTCTCTGCCTAATTGTTACAATTTATTTGTACAATCAGACAGACATTTATCCACATTACAATAGGTTTGTCACTCATCATAATAATTTCAAGGTGAAATGAGTATAATGTACCGATCTTCAACATTTAATCTCATCATTAACCACCCACAATCATCTTAAAATACAAAGCCTTCAGTTCATGTATCCGTTCACATTAAGACAGGAAATTATTTCAATGCAACAATTGGATTGATTGTTCTCATCAATCAGATTCAGTTTGTAAAATAACCGTTGAACCGCCAATTGATTTTCAACCATAAACAGTAAATTACATTGAAATGAACCCAAAAACCAGTGTAAAACTAGTCTTGTGTTGCTGTTTGCTTTTCATGGACAATCGCTATTTTTAAAGTGTTACAATTAAACACTTGAATAGTGATTAAAGTGGCTTTTACCGTTTAGTTGAACATTAATTTTTCATGTTGCAAGTGCTTGCGGCTAAAACAACCTTATAACACGATAGTAATAATCCTTTCCTCCAAATAAGCGTATGAAAAATTGGCTTGAAAGATTAAATCTCGGCTCTAGGTTGATGGATTGACTGTAATAATAAACTTGCTAATTATAGTTGTATAATGAGTGATAAGTTGGTGCAAAGTGTGAAGATGAGCAACAAAGAGATGATGAAAATGAAGAAGCAAATTGAGGTAAATAAGGTAACAAGTGAAAAGATGATAAAAGAAGATGAATGGGATGAGAGAATGCAAGTTGAACACACAAAATTTGGAATAATTTTTTTTAAATAAATGATGATTATCATGATGAAAATGAAATTACTGATGATGGAGAGACTGAAAATTGGTATCAAAATGAGGCTCATTTTAGTGTTCATTATAATGTAAGTATGAAATAAATGTGGATGAAATTTAGATATTAGATTGATGTAGGTTAAAAGAGGAGAAAGTGACTTGATTCAGGTGAAAAGTGTCATGAATGATAGTCTAACATTTGCATGATAAATATGATGAGTGAGTGAATGTCAAAAAATGTAAGTCAAAGTAGAAATGAAAATGAAATTATTTCACGGTCAAAGGGCTCTTTTTGTGGTAATTTTCATTCCACGAGAGTGCCTCTTCCAGGTTGCAAAAACAGACTTCACCGGCTACTTGATCTCAACAAAGATGATGAAGATGAATCATTTTAAATGACGGAGATGATGAAAATTATTCACGGACAAATGGTCCTTACAGTGCTATTGTTGATGCTACAAGAGTGACTTTGCTAGGTTGAAAATGGTCGACCATCAGCCTAACGATATTGACTGATGACAATATGATAAAGATGGAAATGAAGATGAAGATGAAGATAATGAAGATGACGATGATGAAGATGTTGAAAATGAGGATGGAGAGAATGAAGATGATAGTGATGATGAAAATGGTGATCGAAGCGATAATGAAAATTAAGATGAAAATGCTGAAGTTTATTGTGCGATTGAGAGACTCTCGTTATACTTCTGTTGATGGGACAAGAGTGACTTTACTCGGTTGAAAATGGTCGACCAACAGCTTAACCTGACTGACTGATAAAATATGAAGATTACTATAGTCATTACGATTGCCAAAAAAGGTTTCATTAAATTTTTACATTAAACGTTTTATCCATCAATCTAATGAATTTAACCTTTTGTTTTTATTATATTTTTAAATTGTGCAAATTGATGAAAACCATTTTTTTATTATCATCGATTCTCTAATTAAAGGTGCAATTTCTCGGTGATTTGATTTGTTATTGATTTGCGTTCAATCCAACATGAACATTTATCATTAAAATATATTTTCCTCTCATTTTTTTTCATTTATAATCATTTCAATCATCATTTTTATTTCTTTGGTAATACCTTAAATGATTACAGTGAAAAAAAAGAAGCTTAACCATTTTGATTATCACCAATTATTATTATCATTATTGTGTTCCCTGCGTGGTAACCTCACATTAATATTAACAAAATAAAAACAAAATTTAAAGCTCATTCACCAATTTATTGAATTTAAACAGCCAAAACCCAAATCACAATCAAACCAAACGAATGATAAACTTAAAACAAAACCCAAAAATTTAATTGCAATGAAAACAAATGAGCAAAGTTTACTTGAAGCGATCCGAGAGAGACTTGAAACTTTGCGAGAGTTTGATTAAAATTAAAATGATGGCGAAAAAGGATGAATAACAATTACAATCAGGTTGTAAACACTGGATGACAGTTAATTGATGATTACTTGATCAGCTTGTTCCTTTTGTGTTTCCCATCTTTTAATATTTGGATATAAACCATTCCGATAACCCTGAGGTTTCCATTTTTCTTTACAAGTTAAATGACAGTTTATTATTGCCATTATCATTATAAATATTATTATAGTTATTATCATTTATTATTAATATTATTAATATTCGTCAACCTATTATGTATTTTATGTTGAATGATAGATTTTATGACTTACAATGAATATCAAAAGAAAAGACTATCTGTGAATAAACTAAATCATTATTCATTTCTTTTTTTTATTTTTTTACCTTTTCTCTATTTTACCTGTTATTGTGTATTGACAACAGGTTTTGGTTTGAAAGTTGAGTCTCGATTTACCTATAAAGTCTTTCTCTTCATCTGTGTGTGTGTGTTCATTATTGAACCATGCAAATGCTGGAAAACAATTGGTTCCAGATGATAATTAATCAAATGGGAAAACAATTGAACACAAAAAAATGACAAATTTTTCATTATTCATAATTCATTTGTTGCTGTTTCACACCAAAAAATATTGATGTTAATTTTGTCGTAAAACGTTGGTTTAACAATGTTTTTACGCACATTGAATTTGCTAATCAATAAATGGATAAAACGTGAAAATTTCAGGTGAGTTTTCAGTTGAAATTGAAATCAGAGGAAATCTTTTCCAGATAAAATTCGTTCGTTCTTCATGCATGAGCATCTGAAGAGAAGAAAAAGTTTGAAACAGAAATGTGCTGTTCATCTGAGCCAAAGTTTTACTGATGTACAACTTCGAGTCTCATAATTAGTTGACGAATCTTTTGAAGTTTATTTTTCAGTCTATTTGATCGAACTCAAATTTTTCTGACTCAGTTCGTCTGATGTAGCGAAGCTTTTTGATCCGATTGTCTCTTAATTTGGAAATTTCACGCTTCGAAGTTTCTCTGAGTCAATGGGGAGTTAATATGATTGATGAACCTTCGTAAGAATCGTTCAATTTTAAGATCGAAAAATTTTGCAACGAAAACTGGATTTCATAAAATTTCGATTTTGCAGGCTTAGAATTTTTCGGTCGAAATGAAATTTTTGAAGATTCGTCAGAACTGAATTTGCATGAGAAGCTTTCAATGAGTTCCTATAGTTTTACAATTTTAACCTGAAGCTACTTGGCGCATCAAAAGTGAAATGTAAAATTAAAAGATTCAGTTTCATCAGCTGTAAAGGTGCAAATATTTCAACCTTTTCAGCTAAATGACAATTAGTAAATTGAAATGGAATGTAAATTAAAATGATTTCCAATTCACCTTTACATGAAGAAGAAAAGTTTACCTTTTAGTGTCACCAATTGATAATCATGTAACCATTTGCAATTGTACTCATCATCATAATCTAATTCAAATTACCTGTGATAACTGGTTAGACATAATTACATGATGATTTTAAAAGGATCATTTTTACCTGTTCCATCATCATCATTATCATGAGTGAAAAAAAACTGTGAATCCAGAATGGGCGAGCAACAATGATAATCACTAGTCTCACCTTGTTTGTGTCAACAGCAGCAAGCGCCAGTCAACACGAACA